TTCTCACACACCTGCAAACTGCGGGAGCCTCTGTGGGCAGAGCAGTGCAACACTAATGCTGCAGCAAGCTGAGCCCAGCCAAATTGAACCCAGGAAATGTAAAGCCATAAACACCCCCATACCTGCCAGCTCTCCCATCCTGTGCAGACAACTCCTCTGCTTCCTGCCCTCCCAGACACACGGAAATGCTCTGCAGCCATCTGCCACAACCTGCTCCCACACACAGAAACCTGGGGGTTTACAGTCCAAAAGTTAAAATAATGCTCCCGCTTTGGTGCAGCAGCTCTGCTACCATCGTGGAAACTGCTTTCTCTTGTGTTTAGTCTTCAGCACAGTGCACAGCCTGGAGCTCCAGCCTTTCTGCATCCCAGGGCATCTCCTGTGAGTGTCCCAGGGTTGTGCTAAGGAACCTAATCCTGCTGATCCCACAGTCGCTAGTTCAAAGAGGTGCTCCCGGCTTAAGTGATGTAGGGATCAAAGTCTGGGCAGTAGCTGTTTTTCCTTCTCTTCTAAATATAAGCAGATAGATGTCCATAAAATGTCCTTAATGTTTCCACTGATGGAAGAGCAGCATCCAGTGTCTGCAGACCTTCTGTTAGATTCTCAAAGCTCTTCCCCTGGCATTTTTTAACTGTCCTATTTCATCAGCTCTCCTTATATGGTATCTTGATTCTCTTTTTTCACTCAGAATCTCTCTCAGCTTTGTCTTACCAGTAAATTTTAGGAACGCTTTGCTGCTTCCTTCTTTTGAGGTAATAATTCCCTAACTAACACTTTATACTAAGCCCTCTCCATAGCAAAATCAGTTAAACTCTTGGAGCCATATGTAGGCTGGGCAAAAATGTGGTTCCATTGTCATCTAATACTGTCACTTGTAATCATCTCCAAATTTACAGGTTAGTCTACTGTAAAATAGAGCAAAAGTCTCTAAAGCTTGAGAGATTTTCTGTCCAGGGATGATCTTCTAATTCCATCTCCACTGTCTGTGTTATTAGCAACCTGATGGACAGAGGACACTTTTTATTGAAAGACTTAAGATCCTTTAAATTGTCTGTCTTGACACAACAGGGTTTGTTTTTTTTTGGTGATTTCTGTATGGGTTAGCTTTTTGCTACAGCTAACCCAAATCAATCTGTAAAGGAGATGAAAGGGAGCTGTCTTCTGTACTTTGGGAGGTTTGGCAAAATAAAAGTTGCTTTGTTTTCATGCTAAAAAAAAATAGAGATTTTGTCTAGGTTAGAGAAATCTATATTTGGCATAGAGAAAACTAGCGATAAGAGGAGATAAACAGATGTTGACATGCAGTGGTCACATCTGGTGGGTGCTGAGTGACTGCTGGTGGCTGCAGGAAGCAGGGCTGAGTCACCCCAATAGCCCACATACAGGATTTCCCCAGTCATCTCTCTGCTATGCCCATTCCCAATGCCTTCCAGACTCCCTTCCTAGCAAAGGAGACCATGCCAGCACCTTCCCTGTTTCACATGGCCTCTACATAGCCAAAAGGAATGAAGCAAGGTGCAAGCATGTTCTCTCTTTACAGTGAACTCCTGCAACCCTGAGATCTCCACCTCCCTCTTCAAACCTGCACATCCAGCTGTCAACAGGAAGTTCTTGGGGTTTGCCTTGGCACTGTATAGGATTCCTGTGAGATGTTGGTCCCTGCTGGAGCATCAGAAAGGATCTGAGCACAGAGGCTTACCACGTGGAAAAGATGGGCTTCTGTTCTCTGTATATCAAAGCAGAGGAAGGAATATGCCAAGCCACAGAATTGATTAGGTTGGAAGGGACCTCTCGAGATCATCTAGTCCAACCCTATGCTCAAACAGAAGGTTTGAGCAGGTCCATATCCAGTTGGGTTTTGAGTATCTCCATGGATGGAGACTCTACAACATCTCTTGGCAACCTTGTTCCAGTGTTTAGCCACCCTCACAGTAAAAAAAAAAAAGTAGTTTCTTGTGTTCAGATAGAATTTTCTGTTTCTTAATGTGTCCCTGGCCATGGCAGGGGGCTGGGACTAGACGATCCTAAGGTCCTTTTCAACCCAAACCATTCTATGATTCTGTTGCCCCTTGTTCTGTCAGAACTGTCTTACTAGCATAAGATAGCTCTGGAAATACCATCCTGACTGGAATTACTGCTAGCATTACTCTCTTCTCCCTTCTCCTGAGCTCTGAGGCTTAGCAAGGGGGGTGACCTTACCTGCATTGCGATCTCATCCTCTCACTGGACCAGTCCTCTAAAAAGTAAACTGAGCTTTGTCCTTCATTGTCCCTCAGTGTTAACCCTGAGCCAGGCTTTGTGGTGATTCTCTTCGCTCTTGCAGGAAGAGCTGGCGTACGGATCGTGGGAACAATGCAAGGTGGAGACACAGAGGAAGATGTAAGTAACTATCCCATGTGCCTGTAGAGCTTTTCTGAGTGCTTTAGAATGACATCCCTCTCCTCAGCTAGGGAGACACCTTTTTACCTGGTGAATCTCCATGCCCCAGGCCTGCTTTTCCCTCCTTTCCTCTAGCTGACAGCTCACTCATCTGCATAACAATATATTTTTCAGTTTTATTTGCTCTTGCAGTCTCTGCCCTGTGCTTTACCATCAGCCTGCAGTGCATAACTAGCAGCCCACAGGCTGCAGGAATCCTGTTTTGTTAAGCTGTTGGGGCAGATTGCTGTACTAACATTGCAGTAGCCTGTACTAACAGCATCAGTCCTTCAGTCCTCCATGATGAGACAGGGATGACAGCAGAACTGGGAGCTGTGCCCCTTGGGATCCCTGCCTTGTAGAGGAAGTTGTCCCATGGCTACTGCCTTTATATATCAGGTTACAGGTGACCTTGTGAGTGGACAGTGTCTGACGAAGTGCACACAGGTTTGTAGAGCAGGTGTTGTTCTGACTGCTCTGCTCAGCCTTTGGCATGTGTGGGCAGTCTTTCTATGCCTCTGGATGCTCCTTGGTGCCTACATTTGTACTAGGAAGCTGAAGCCAGCTGCTGTGATATGGTTTGCATCCATACCTTAAGCTCACCCCACCATCCCCAAAAGATACTGACATCCAAGCTGCTAATCAGAATCAGTGGGGTTATCCTGTTCCTGAGGTGATGCTGGAATAGTGTTTTGGAGCGTGCTAGTTGGTACAGGCCAAAACTGCTAGGAAATAGTACAGACACGTAAATCTGGGATGACTGTGAATCTGTGTTTGAACCTGTGCTGTCTGTTATTTCCCACTGAAGCGTAGCAGGAGTTTGATGGATCGGGAAGCAGAGGTTAATGGGCAAGTTGTGAGCTAGCACAACTCTAGGGTCCCAAGCAGAAGGTTTAAAATGAGAGGGAAGTGGATGGGGGAATGCATCTCTACAGGTCATAAGAACAGTAGGAAACTCCCACTGTTTGCCACAGCTGTCTGGCACTGCTGGGTTAGCCCTGCAAAGTTCTGCGCTGACTGTTTCTCCTTCAGGCAGGGCCAGAAGAGAGAAAAAAACACTGCTACTGAGCATTCATTGCAGAGACCTGGAAGCACTAGAGCAATAAGGGAGCTAAGTTTCTTACTAGAGAGGGATGAGCTGCCCATTTTAACCTTTGCTCTGGAAAGGAACTTGCGAATAATGCTCTGCTGTTTGCTTCTGCCACATGGATGTGGTTAAGGCTGTTTGATGCTTTCTGAGGAATGACTTATGCCCTTGTCATTCAGACACATTTCTGGGTAGGGTCAGGAGTGACAGCGCTGTCAGTGAAGATGTTGTGACCTCAGTCACAGTGCTGCCCAGTAGTCCTTGAGCATGTTCTTGCCAGAATTGGATAGTCATCCTCTGCAGTTTCTCTTCCCTTTGGACGTTCCTGTTCACAGATTTCTCCCATATCTCCCTGGCACAGCCCCAGCATATCCAGGTGTGGAAAGCCAAGGTCCTCAGACTCTTCTTGCCCTCAGCTAAAGCCACTTCAGTTGTCTCATGGCTCTGCCTTCTTAATACAGCACCTCAGCAGGCCCCGATGCTGAGAGGCTTTGCTTAGGGACCCTTGCAGGCATCCACATGTCTGAGATCAGGGAAGGAAACTAAGGAGGCTGGTTTGAACCCCTCCAGGAGTTAATTGGGTTATGGAATTGAGAAGAGAGGAGGCTTCAGCCTACCCAAGAGCCAGCGGCTGTATGCCCAGCCTCTGTCACTTGCTGGTGTGGCATATTATGCCTGAATTGTGCCTGGCTTTGCTGCCTTCTTCCCTGCTCCCATGCTGGTTACTTTCTGTTTTCTTTCATGTTCTTGTACTTTTTTTTCCCCCCCTGGTCTGCTTCCCTTGTGTTTTGCACTCTGGTTCTCCAAGGGGAGATCTGCCCCAGGCACACCCAAGATCATCACCAAGGCACAGGTGGGTTTCTCTCCTGCAGTTCATTTTCTTTCACTGCACCTTGACTCTTGGGTCTGGCAATAGGTATCACTTTAAAGTTAAACACTTTGCAAAGTTTTTAATACCAGATTCAGCAGAAGTCAGGGAGTTCGTTTTTGTCAGCTCTGTGAAGTGAGGAAGGAGGTTTGCAATCAGTTGAGTGAAGCAGCCACTGTCTAGCAAAATGGGGAGCTACTGGTGAAACCTCTATGGGCCATTACCTGAGCTCTGGCTCCTCATTATTTTGGAAGGGCAGCAGTACACAGCAGCCTGAGCTGGAACAAAAACTCCTGCAGAATCTGCTGCTGCTCCCTGGAGTAAGTCCAAATCTGGAGTCACACCAGTCCAGACAAACAGCCTTCTCCATAGCCTGTGGGTATGTGATTAGAGTGCAGAGGGGGAAGCAACTCAGTGTCAACCAGCAGTGCCATCCTTCTGAGCTGGCAAAGACACCTTGCCATCTGAGAACTGAAATGGGTTTGAACTCTGCTTTCCTACAGGAGGACTCGGGGGATAGCGAGATTGACCTGGATGAAGATGAGGATGATATGGAAGACAACAGCGTAGAAATCTCTCCAAGAAAATTTGTTCTCCGAGCAAGGAAGCCAGAGCCACTGGAGGAAAGTGATAATGACTTCTGAGCCTTTAGTAGCAGGACCAGGAGGCATCTTGAAATACAGACTTTGGAGAGCATGCAAGCCAGGAGCTAATATCCCACCATCTTGTCAGCATGAATTCCGGGGTCTGTAAATAATGTTCATTAAACTTGAAAATGAAACTTGGATTGCCAGTCCTGGGACTCTCAAAGCATGAGCAATTTATCCGTAATGAGAATCACAGTAATGCGGAGTGCGGTTATTTCTGTAATTGCAGTAGAACTGGCCCTCATGCACTGCAGTGCCAAAACTCATGCTCCAGTGAGCATCATTTGCTTGATTTCCCTGCATTTTATTATGTCCAAACAGATTTTTTTTTTTTTTTGGCATAATAAAACTGGATGAAAAGCTGCTCTGGGGATACATTTAAATTTATTTTAAATTTGGCTTAAATCTATTTATCCTGAACATATTCTTTATGTAATCAAGGGCTTGTCTCCACAGAGAGTAGCACCAGTTAGACTGAAGGAGTGAAGTTAAAACTGGGAAGGTAGTGAAGGCATCCTCAAATACCACCTTCAGGCAGCATCTCTCTGTATTTCAGCTGTGTTGGTGAAAACTGTTCTCGAACTTCAGTGGGCCCGTCCCTGTGTGCTCTGAGAGCAGCCGTGCGAGGCTGTGCTGTAATTTAGTCTGTATGGAATTAGCCCTTTAATTATTCTGGTACTTCTGGGGTAGACTCAGATTTCAGCGCTCAAATGGGCCAAAACTGGGCTCTTGTTCAGTAAGTCACAGTGATGCCATCAGTGAAGGTGCATTCAGGTGAACACAAGGGCTGGAGTTCATCTAGTGTGTTGTCTCTGCTTTAGCATCACATTTTGTCTTCACAGGAGCAGAAATCAGAGCTTGTTTAGAAGAGTTCTTTTTCGTGTGTGTTCAAGAGGGCAGATGAGAGTGTCCTTGCTGTTCTCCTGCCCTTCCCTTTTCTTACATCAGCAAAGCACTTTGCTTTCCCCCCATCTGAAGCCTGGAGTCAGGTCCAACCCCCGCATTACCGCACTGAAGGAAAGAACACATGTGAGTTACTTGAAAACCCAAGAGCTTTTTCATCTCTCCATGTCTCTGAGCCCAAAGGTGGAACCATCACACCCAAGGCGGTTCCCCGTCAGCAGAGCTCACAGCTTGAAATGGCATGTCAAGCTGGGACAGAAGTTTACAGGTGAATGCAGCACAGGTTTTGTGTAGTGATGGGACACACATGGGTGCAATGATGTGCTGAAACACACACAGTCGTACATGCTGGCTTGCACTTGCTTGCACTTCCTTGTGCTCTACAAAGTTAATTGGCATTTTTCACCTCACTTCAAAGAAAGCAGACACAGCAGATGGTGCTGGACCCCTCCTGCAGAGCCATTAGGGTGGTGCTCCGACAGTCAGGGAGGAGGTGCTTGTGCTCACCACATCCCTCTCCCAAGGGATAAGAATGTCCTGATTTTTAGGGCCTGGTCCAAAAGTGTTTCTCTGTGTTATGCAGGAAATCTGTTCTGGTCCTCCCTGTGTGCTGAGATATATCTGACCAGTGAGACTTCCCATAAGACTGGGCCCAGCGCCCAAGTCTGGGTTGCAGTTTCAGAGCTAGTTTTCCATGTTATTGCCTGTATTGTAGGGTGAAATGGAACACTGACTTAACCCCTTGCGTGCCCAGAACCAGGGCCTCATCAGGCAGCACATCACCTGCCTTCCAGCACAGCCACCAGGTTCTAGCCATGGTTTGCATTGCAGCTTCTTGTACCAGGCTTGAACAGCAGCACCTCTGGAGCCAGTGAAAATGCACACTCTGAGCTCTTGAGCTTTCCTCTTGGAATTGTCTGTGCATAGCTAGGCATGTGCACAGGTGGACAGGTACATGAAATCTATTTCAAGTTGTTCTTAACCCCTTATTTTCTGAAGCTCCAGGTCACAGGAGCTGGCTTGGGGTTATTGATTGCTCTCTCTGTTGGTGTTTTAGGTAAGGTTTCAGCTCAGGGTTAGGCACAGGCTTTGCACAGAGCTGGAACCAAGCCTCAGCCTGCCCTGAAACAGTGGTGAAAGAGGTGGGTAGGACTTAAATCACTCCATGTCACCGTGTCCTGTTGGAGAGTGTGGAAAAGCCAAGAGCCTCTTGTCACACCAGCACAGGGGAAGGGTCTGCAGCCAGGGCAGTGGAGCATAGTGCATCCTGAATGGAATGGAATGGAATGGCATGACAGGGAAGGGAAGGCTGCCCACCGCATCTTCTCAGCTCAGAACCGATTTATTCCCAAGTATGTACACATTGCCCTGCTCAGCCCGGCATTTCTCCAGGAGGTTTCTCCATAGGGCTCCCTGAGCAGCCTGAGCCCTGCTTAGTCCCTGAGCCCTGAGTGCAGCAGCAGCATGTCACAGTGTGGGCTCTGGCAGGGGTGCAGTGGGAAGAGGGGGCAGTGGCTGGAAGGAGCTCAGGGGGCAGTTGCGTAGTTTGGCTACTGGACCACCTGCAAACCTGGCAGCTTCTGGAGAGTCACTGGATCTCTGCCATGTACACAAAGGCATCACCTGGCACCTCTGCTTTCAGCAGTGGCCTGACAGAAAGGTGACCTGCTCGGGATGGACCCTACCTGCAGCTGGAACATCAGGAAGACACATCGTAAGATCACAGTGATGACAAAAGCACAAGACTCAAGAAGTGCAGCCTGAACTTGAGAGGCAGAGCTTTGTGTTAAAGCAGTCCTGGTGAGCACCAAGACACATGTGCTGGAGATGGCCCATCTCATGCAGTGCTGTTCCTCTTACACTCACCCTCCCACTCCTCCTCCCATTATCCTGAGGGCTCTTCATTTCCCACAGTCTTTCTAGATGGTTCCATGCCTATGCCTTGGGATGCCAGTCCTTTTGATGGAGAACAGGACTACCAAACACTTCAGGCATGCTTGGCCAGCACCAACCCATTATTGAGGGCAAACAGCACAGGTTGCACTCACTGCCTTTGATCTGAAGAGCCCAGGTCCATAGCATCACTCTCATCTGAGCAAGGAAACAGCAAACCTCTCCTTGTCTTTCTGGGATCTCATGGGAACCTGCAGACTAAATAGCCGGCTGAGAAGAGGCTGCTGTGAATCCTGCCCAAGTTTCACCTCATCTTCCTGGGATCCTTGCCAGAAGCAGACGGGGAAGAGCTGGTGCTGGGAGCAGAGCCCTGGAGCCCCACTTGCAATGCTTACCCACAGTGACTCAGGCTGGGGCAAGAGCAGAGCTCTGAGTGGTCAGGATGTGCCTGGTATGGGGCAGGGTCTGCAGACAGCACTGTAACCCCATGGAGATCACAGGAGGGGGGTCCCTGCTGCTACGGTGGCAAGTCACCCATGAACACAAGAAGGGCTGGCATGTGGGATCTGCCCTCTCCTCCCTCCTTTTTGCATTTCACCCCTTCCTTGAGGCTCCCCCAGGGCCTGGATGAACAGGGACGTGGCATATATCCCTCAGCTTTCAACACGAGTGAGTCTTCACCCTCCTGCGCTGCTGATCCAGAGGCTGAGGTCCTCCTGGGCTGTGCCAGGGAGCTCAGGAGCTCTCCTCAACCCAGCTCTCCTCCTTGCGACAGGCAGGCGAGGCCGAGGCAGCTCCCTGTGATGGAATGCTGGCTAAAGGGACCACTGGGCCACCTCCTCACTGCAGCCAGGCACCTCACACATCCACCACACAGTCAGGGGAGTTTGTCCGGATGGCATCAGAGATCATCTTGGCTCCTGACTGGCCGATGCAGTTCCCCTGCAGGCTGGGAGCAAAGAGGAGTTCAGGCTTGGACATGAGGCAGAGCAGGATCCTTGGTGAGTATGAGAGAAGCTCCCAGCTTTACACCAGCATCCAGCATCATCTGTACCCTCCCCATGCCACCCAGGAGCTCTTCTGGAGAAAGCCTCTGGGAGGGGTTGAGCCAGACCATTCCTGTGATATTTTAGAGTGTATTTTGCTTTTGGGTGGTTCTTTGCCCCACAGGCAGCCCCAGAGAGGGGCTGTGGAGAATGGAACTGTGTGGGTATGGTGGCTGGGAGGAGCACGATGCGCCCTTTTCCCTTTCCCCACTGGGGATGTCCCTGTAGGGCAGCTGGGAATGGGCAGTGCCAGCAGTGGGGAAGGTCCCGTGACGGTTCCTGTGGTGTCTCCCATCCCTGCCTCACCATCCAGTGCAGTGGCCACTTACTTGATGTAGGTGAGGCCATGGTTTCCCTTCAGAGCAGTGGCGATGCAGATGGCTCCGTCCATGCCCAGGGAGTTTTCCTGCAGGCTAAAGGAAGCAGGAGGCTCAGAAAGCACTAGCCAGGAAGGTGTGGCCAACAGGAGGGAGTGCATGTCATGGGCATTGGGAAAAGCTCCTAGCTCAGCGGTTTGCCCCACTGGAAGCTGCTGGCCTCCAGGAGGGTCTTTCTGGCTTACCCCAGGGAGCAAGATACTCACTTGAGCCAGCGGAGGCTGCGGTTCACCTTCAGCGCGTTGGCCATTGCCTTGGCCCCAGCCACGCCAATGGAGTTTCCCCGCAAGCTGCAGAGAAAGGCAAGTGGTGAGGGGTGACAGCCAGGGGGGACAGGAGGAGGTGGGAGAGGTCAAGGGACAAGCCAAGTCTGGTAGGACATGATGCAAGGGTGCTCAGCTAAGGACCAGCATCCTGGACACCCCTGGGGAGCAGTGTCACAGCCATGGTGACTTGTTGGCCCTACCAAGCACTTACTCCAGGATCTCCAGGCTCTTGTTGACCATCAAAGCTTCTGCCAGGGCTTGAGCACCAGCCGCACCAACTGAAGCCACCTGCAGGCTGCAAGAGAACAAGGACCTTCAATGCATGTTGTGAGGGGGCCATGGTGTGTTAATTGGACAAGCTCATTAGACAGGCTGCAATGTCAGGCCGCCGCCCCACCCCCGGGTCACAACGCTCATTAGACAGGCTGCAATGTCGGGCCCCTGCCACAGCCTGGATACTCACTGGAGATGTGCCAGGGTTGTATTGACCTTCAGTGCAGCGGAGAGGGCGG